ACCACAGATGCCTCAAACGAAGCAATAGGTGTAATTTTATCACAAGATGGTAAACCCGTGTCACATGCCAGCCGAACTTTAAACTCTGTCGAACGCAATTACTCCACAACAGAAAAAGAACTACTCACAATAGTATAGGCTGTCAAACATTATCGAGCCTATTTGCACGGTAGAAAGTTTAATATAATCACCGATCATAAACCACTGGAATGGCTATATAAGAACAAGGACCCATCTTCGCGATTAATGCGATGGCGAATTGCATTAGAAGAATTTGAATATGAGATAAAATGCAAATTACAATCGCGAAATTATTTAAAACCGCACCTAATGTACTATCTAATATTCTCAATATCAAAGAAACTTTGTTCACACATGTTGTTAGGGGCTTGCGGTTGATCTTTCGATCGTTCAAGCTTTGTCGGTTTTTGCACGTGTGTGCCGACTAATGTTCCAAGGCTTCGAATGACCAGTTTCTTGATTGAAACACTAAGTTTTTATTTTATGTTCTATTTTCTACAACTAATTCAAGATATAAATTCTATTGCGAAGTGTTTCTTGCGAGTGGCCAAGTGTTTCTCCCGCGAGTTGCAAAGTGTTTCTCCCGCGAGTTGCTAAATGTTTCTGCCGGAGTCTCTGCGGTTTCCCTCGAAGAAGACTCCTATTTTTCTAAAAACACCCCGATTGGTGATTTTTCCTTTTCTAAATCACCAATCAGTTTACTCCGGTGCATCGCAACCTCCCTCCATTTCGCCCTCAGCGCGTTATCTTAGGGTGGGGTAAACGACGACCGGAGAAAGTGTTCGGTGGACGGATGTGTGGGAATCCTGTGGAATCTCCGCTTTTCTAGGCTTTGTTAAAGTCAAGTGGCCCATCGACGTTGGCAAAAGTCGTGGGCCACTTTTCTATTTTCCATTCGGAGACTCCAGGATTTATGGCAGGGTCTGGTCCTAGGGACTAAGTGTCGCAGGCAACGCAATAAACACTTGTGGTGTTTTGAAAAAGCGATATTTGTCTACGATGGCGACCACTTGACTCGCTGCCATAAATCTGGCTACAGGATACGCCTTAACACATACAAATCTCCGATGAACCACTACCGCAATATCGAACACAGAACGACACACCGATGTGTCTACAGGAAGGACCAGAACATTGCGAAAAAATAATGGACGAAGAAAGAAGAGTAATGAAGATTATTTTGTATACTCCCGACAGGAAATCTGTATTTCCTAAGGTACGCGACACGCCTGGTCACTGCATACACCTAAATTTAAGCGAATGGTTACTGTTTTGCAATGTATCACGACAACGCGGCATACAACTTATTAAGGATCATGCCAGGACGAACCCAGAAACATGTATTATATTTCATGACGAAGAGATAGTTTTTCCAGTACCAGATGATGTTCCACGTATATTAAAGGAACACCATTGTTCAACAATCGGAGGACCACCATTAGAATTAACAGACACACCAAAACGGTTTAACGACAAAGTAGCGATGGATATTCTCGGACCACTCAAGGAAACTCGAAGAGGACATAGATACATACTAACGGCACAATGTCTATTAACAAAACATAGTTGGGGTTGGCCTTTGACTAACTACACCGCAGAAAGTTGCGCTAATGCCTTTCTGAAACATTATATTTGCAGATATGGAGCTCCTAAAACAATATTAAATGGTCGTAATTTCGTATCAGATTTTATGAAGACCTTTGAAAAAATCATCGGAATCCAGCATGTAACCACCACAGCAGTCCACCCAGAAAGTAACGGTTCCCTCGAAAGAAGTCACCAGGTATTGAAGGATTACTTAAAGATATACGTTAATAATGAACAGAATGATTGGGATGACTATTTAGATTTAGCAATTTTCAATTATAATACAAATATACACGAAGCCACCAATACGAGCTGGTATACGGACGACACGCCAATTTACCATCGAGTAGTACGGTAAAAATACTGACACATACAGACATTTTAAACGAATTAACAAGTCGTATAACGGATCTCCAAAGAAATGCCAGAAACAACATAGAAGAGGCTAAAAGAAGAACAAAGGAAAGATACGACAGAACCTGCAGACCTTACAACTTCAAGAAGGGTGATTACGTGTGGAAGGTCGGGATAAAGCAAGTGGACTGAGTGTCCCGTTTGAAGGGCCCCACCTAATTCTAGACGTTCCATCCGAACCAAATATTTTAATCCGGAAGAATCAAAGGTCTATGTTAATTCACAAAAATAGATGTAAATCCGCTAATTTAAATATTTCAGTACCCCAATAGTTAGCACGCGAGATGACGAGCTGCAGTATAAGATTCGCGAGCTCGAGAATCTACCAACCTTGAGGCAATTGAGGTTGTTCACCAAGCAGTAAAAATTGGTAAGCTACCTGCCGCTTGAGGACCTGATCCGACAAGAGGCCCACATCAAAGAAGGCATCACGGAAATGATTGGGCATCGATGGTCAGCATCTTAGGACCATATATCAATTGGAAAGATCCCTGCTGCAAGCCAAGAAGAATCGCCAGCGATTATTCCCTTCAGCAGGCTACGAACTCCCTTAGTCAAAGCGAACACGCCGTGGTATATTCGATTTTACAGGGGATGTAAGCAAAATTTATTTTTGGAACAATGAGCGACAAAGACGTTAAGTATAATAATCGCGAGATAGATCTAGTACATAAGAACAATAAACATAATGTAGATCTACTTAAAAAAAAAATCAAACTTAGATATTAAAAGTAGCTTTAGAAAAATGATAAGTTAATATAAGATTATAAAGAGAAAATCAACATTATCAATCGAAATATATATATAAAATAGAAGGCGCAGAAAAATGAACCTATTACACAAAACTTATCAACAATTTACGCCATGTAAACTTAGAAGAATTAAGTATACCAGAAATAGATAAAAGGACCGAAACAATAGGCAATCACAACAAACCAAAAAATTATATAGAAACTACAACGAGACACGAAAATATCCCCATAGTGCGTCTTAATTCACCTTCTTAAATAGATTTAACAGATATTAGGCGGATGTTAATGAGTTCAACACGAACAAGAAATAAACCAACAAATATGTAATGAAGATACTGCCTGAAATGAGGCAATATCTTCAATCTAAGCGAAGGGGTGTTACACCCTCAAATATTTTCATTCTTAGTCCTTAGTTTTATCTGTATTCACAACTAGTCATACTCATACTCGACTCTTCACCTTCCAACTGTCCTCTCAACTCTCCTGCATAGTCACAACCCAAAGTCCATCTTTCCAGAACCCTTAAATATGTAGCCCTATTTTCTCCTTATCCGCATTCATTCTCCGTTCTACCACGCGCACGTCACGTATCATCAGAAATCTCTGTTAAATAAAGTTCTGTTTCACGCAACGACGATCCTTAAGTGTTTTAACTCAGTGATACCCCAGTATCTGCTCCTAGTTTCGAGGAATTGGAGCAAACCGGGCATCACAATACGTTATTGACAATTCAAATTGCGCTTCAGCTGTGCGCGTCAATCTCTCTATTTAGATTTAGACTAAGCCATGCTAAAGCTATATTCACGAACATGCACGACAAGTGTTTAAAGCTACGTTCACGCGATAGCGTAACAGTACATTGAATATTCTGCAGTTTAAATTAGCTACTCCGAACATTTCAAATGGTAACATGAAAATTAGAACTACAATAAGCTTTAAATATTACAATCTAAAGACTATTATAACATAAATATTACTACATTTTTAAATAATGTATGTTTTAAAGCATTATTATAAATTATTACAATTCAACTCAACCTAATATTTTCTCGATTTATAACAATATAATGACATAATTTTATTCATATGATAATACAAACTTATAAGGCAAAGCATGTATGTAGAAAATTTTCAAACATTTTTGAAATATATGTCAACTATATGTATGTATGTATATAAAACTACAATTTATGAATTAAACATTCTTCTAGTGTTTATATTAAAGAGTATAATTAACGCGTGTGTCCATATGGTATATATTTTATCATTTTTCATGTCTCTATACATACACGCATGTCATAACGGCGCATATGTTAACGCGTTCCTTTATCAACAAAAAGCCAAAGTATTACTCACGTAACCTCTATTTCAAGAACAGTGACACGTAAGTTTTGTCACATAAAGAATTTATTCAAGTGCAATTTATCAAACTATCTTGGATAAAATATTGGTTATCATGAAAAAGTTACAATGATAGGTACAGTCATGTGCACCGTATTAAATGAAAATAATAAAGTGATGTTAAAGAAAAAGATCGCCGTTCTTTTTAAGATGTAATTTATGTTACCGTGTAATAAAAAAGAAAATAAAATGTTTTTGGAAATTCAAGTGCAAACGAGTGCAAAGAGAATAAGTTAATAAACAGTAATTATTCATGTATTTATATGAGACAATTAACGTTCATGAACAAATTTGATGATCGAATTCGAATAGGAATCAAAGATGCTAAGGTTACATTGTAAAACATCAATATGTCAGTATAAGTAATATGGAAATGTTTTAGGAATATAAGGTATGTTATGTAAACAATTAAGATAATATTAATGAAACATAATTGTTCTTTGAAACAAAAATTAGAATTTTGTCCATGCTTAATTTCTTAAAAACATGTGATTTTTAACAATACAGTACTTTTCTTTTATTTTTACAACTTATATACAGTATTATAACTGCTATTCATAATATTTTGCACATAATATTGTATATTACTTTTAAACAAAATTCATTAGAATAAGAAAAAAATTGAACACTATTTTTATATTAAATAATATAGTTGGTTTTAAAGGAACGAAAACATTTTTTTCAGATTTATATTATATTGGCACAAAATGTAATGGTAAAAGTAGTATTCTTATATTATGTTTACAATGAGAAAAGTTATACCAATGAGCTGGTTGAACCAGATATTGTTGATTTTAAGTATATCATGCGTATTGTTGTCTATAATTATACAAGAATGGGCTAGTCTTACACCATTACAAATATATATTTTTATTTCATGGGCTATTTTTATCATAGTAATATCAGTATGGCTCAGTTGTTTTTTATTTCAATTTGCAATAAAAGCAAATAATCCACTTAATATACAATTTCTTAATAACTGGTTATATCAGAAGTTAGTAAATAATCTAAACTTATACGATTCAGAAAAAAAGGGTAAATATAATAATAAACATGAAAATAAGACAAAAATAAATACAGGCACAAATTCCATGCAAATGTCTAATAAAAAGAAAAGAGAGAAAAAGTCAGTTACATCAAATGTAAAGGATATTTCTTTAAGAAGAAGGAAAGCAGTAGAAATAAATAATTTAGTACAAGAAATAAACTTGAAATATGTAAACGCTTGGTATACATCAATCAGCCATGATAAATTATTCCCTCATGAAGCACAAGAGTTACTAAAAAAATTACTGACCAAACTGTTTTCTAGATTCAGTTTAATAGACAAAGTAAAACTTACTCATAAGATGTCTCATGTGTTCTTATTACATTTAAAAGAATATCACAGGTATGATATCTAATATACATTTTTGTACAGTAATTTATTATTCAGAGTTAATAAATTATATTATAGAGCATTACGCCGGGTAGAGAAAGGAACTGCACCAAATATAGAAGAAGCATTCAAGTGTTTACATCCTGGTTCTTGTAATATACCAGCATTAGCACATATGCTTCATCGAATTGTTACTATCCTAGCACAAGAATTTCTACAATGGGAGTTAACAAGTTCATTACCATGCAAACTATTATTATCTATCTTAGCAAAAAGATTATTAACAATTATTGAAACAATAAGTTGTCCAAATTGGCTATTTCATAATTTATTAGATTTGCTGCAACCTCTACCAAAAAATGTTGCAGAACTTCAAAGTAAACAGGAAGAAAATGTATCACATGTAAAAGTATGTTCCCATTTTTAGAAAGTTTAGTTTATTTTTTATAAATCAATTATTGTAAACTAATTAAGTGGTTAATTCAGAAATTTATATCTAATGCTCTGGGGGATGGTATAACATCTGCAACAGCAGCTGTGATTCCATGTCCACTATCTAAACCAAAACCTGGATCATCTATAAAATCTTCAACTGAAGATAAAAATACCTCATTATCTATAAATGATAAGAAACCTATCTTATGTTTAAATAATTTAACTACAGAACATAGAGGTCTTTGGGGTCAAAGTATGACAGAGATAGATTCAGAAGTTGAAGAGGATAAAATATCTCCAATATATGAAGAACCTACAGATTTCGCTACAACAATTGCTAGACTTAGAACTGTATTGCAACAAAAGTCAACTGTAAATACACCTTTGTGAGTATTCATATTTTTTAATTTTAATAATAAATCAAGTATGTTCTTATATTATATATTTTAGACATGTGGAGGAAAAATCTTATGTAATATACGAAGGTAGTCAATTTACAAATTTGTCTATTCCTTGGACAGAGTTTCATACAGCTCTTGATGGCTCACAACAATTACTTTATTGCATTCAATTTGATGATGTGGAACAACGTGGAGTTGATTTATTTGAAACTACAACTGCTACTGTTAGAAGACAATATCGCGATTTTGCACAGTTACATGCTAGTCTACAAGAGGTGAATTTAATATGTACTGATTTTATTAAATATTTTGTTGCTTTTTTTATTTCATTTCGTATAATGTAAAATTTACAGATCCCAGAATTAGCGTCTATTATGTTAAACTTGGTGTTACCAGAAGGTGGTCGTGTTGAATTAGAGAATTATTTAAAAACCTTAACTACGCGTTTAGCTAATGAATGTCCATCGCAATTACGACATTTCTTACGCCCAAATAGTAATACTAATAAAAAGGCAGATGTAATCGCACCACGATTTGACAAATTTTTGGTTAAAACAGTAAGTGGTGTTTTTAACACCTTAAGAACAGTTGTTCCAGGTTTCGAAATTGAACAAGAAGAAGAAAATGTTCCATTACCTACATTAATGCCTTTAGCTGATATACCATGGAGGTTTGTCGAGGACATTAAATCGGTAATTAAACATAGATTTTAATAGAAACATTAAAAAAACGTTAGTAATTTTTGTAGTTTATATTAAATCAGACTGAAAAATTGTTGAAATGCATATAAACATTTCACTCTGTTATAACAGAAAAGTTTAGCAGCTAAACTTCAACATTTAATAGCTGAAAGAATAGAATATTCTTCTGTGGATACGGCTTATGAAGCTGTTGATTCAATGGAGAGTACCAATGATTCTGCACTGTTAACTCATTGGTGGGAAACTGTAAAGAGTTCTTATGAAGGTAAAAATATTCAGATTTTATATATAAAATGTTTCGTTGTACAGCACTATGTGTATTTATATATACACATTAAATATTTTACTCTTCTTTTTTTTTTTTAGAAGATGATGATTTGGATTCACATCTAATATTAACAAGTGTTGGTGTAGACATTATCTGTGAATTATTAGCAGGAATTGGAAGTAATAATACCTTACAACAAGAGGCAGTTGTTAGATGGATGAAGTTACTCTTTGGAAATGTTACTGAACCTATATTACATGTAATGATTTATATTACTTTATCATTTATTATTATGTACTATATATGTTAAATTACAAATTTAATATGATTTGCAGATTGCTGCTTTACGAATTTTTGACCATTTGGGTAATAAGTCACTTTTTCACAATGTACAAAACGAACTTTCCAAAGAACCACTGTCACAATTGAAAGAAAGACTGTTGCAAGAACTATTACTTAAAATTCCAAATGATGTAAAATTAATATTTGGTGAGGATGATACGTTAAACATTCTGAAGTATCTACTTGATTCTTATGAAGTAAAAAAAATCAACATAGACTTAAATCTCCAGATATTAGATGTTTTAGCATCGCAACTGTTAATTTCATGTAGATTAAGTCATAATAATACAGTTCTTTTATAATGTTGTTCCTCTTTTAATTTATTAATGAAAGAACAACTCAATTCCGTTTTTGAATCCAGTAAAATATTCAAATTATGAATATTAGAAGTTGTTACTTATTAAAATATATTTTAGTCAAAAAGGAATTGATGTGCCATATGTACCAAATTTGTTGAATTGACAATGTAGAACTATATAAAATTTTCAAAAACAGACTGTGTACCTGATTACATATTTACAATAGGGTGCCAAGTATTTTTCTCAGTAAGACATGACTCTTATGAGTTGTATGATGTACATTACACATACTAGAAGTCTCTACATACATTTATATTTAATGTTTTAAGTTTTGTACAAATGTTTATGAAAAGATATTACATTTCACAATTAATAAAAATTTATCAGTGTATGCGTGTGCGTGCGTGGGTGTGTATATGAAATTTAAATGTACGCAAACTCTTAATAAATCAATATATATTTATTCTTATGAATAACAACATCCAATTGGTACTTTAATTATGATTCTTTTCCCTTATTTTGAGCCTTCTGTTTTTCTAACTGTGCTCTGAAACAATATAATTTCACTTTGTAAAATTTCATGATATAATCTTCTAATACATAGGGTGTTTCTCAACATACAGGATCCACTTCAGCGGTGAACATGGGATACAAAACTAATGAAAAAACTTCATATAAACATGTACCCTATTTGATCCTAGTCCCAAGCTATACCTATATTTGTACTCTAGTAATATGTAACTTCATGTAATTTCTAAAATGCTTTTTTATCTGGCAAATGTTCATTAGGTGAATGATATGTGTGTAGATATCTTGTTTTGACGGAATTACATTCTACGAGTGCATACATAAAATGCATGTCTGTTATTTCTTGATTTGAATACTTATTCATTATCACTTCTAACACACAACTTAACGAATTACCAAGAAATTATCATGCATTGTGTACAGATGTATCGCAGAATCAATTTGTCATTAAGAATTATTGGAGTAGAAAAATGATTATAACTCAGAAACAAGGTCCAATGGGACACATATTTATACGAACCTTTTTCATTGTTTTGTGTTCTTCGTTCACCATTGAAGTACATCCTACATGATGTGAAACACTCTATATAGTAATTA